CATGTATGGAAGGAAAAAAGTTAGATAGGTCACAGATCAATGTTGTACCTGAACTCATTAATTCTTCATTTGTATATATTCTTATGTATTTTGAAAAATATTTATTACAAACATTTAACAAATAGAGAACATACATAAGACTGAAACAAAGAATAGACAAGTGATAGAACAACATTCTAGTCAAATATAGCAGACTAATTCTGATCAGAGATGTACATCTACCATATTACATATTTTCTTTTTAAACCATGAAGCACCACAGAAAATAAAATTTGCCCCTTTATCAAGTGGTATCACTTGTAGAAGACAACTGCAAACTTTTTGTGTGCTTTTCTTTGCGTATGTTGAAAAGGATAAGAAAAAGACTAACTACTCCTGAAACCCGAGGGTAGAGCCCCAAACCTCTATTGTATCTTTTTAATCATTTTTGGCAAGGGTGCCTTCCAAAACTGCTATGCCTGGCTTTCTGCACAGACGGACCGACCCACAAACTTTGTGGGTTCCCCCATCCCATTTATTTCATAAGAAGCAGGAAAAATATAAAGAGTATAACACCTGTCTAATTTAGCAGAGATCTCCCTTTTATACATTTCAATCTATACTTTGTTCTTCATCAGGTATCACAACTCAAACAGATTCAAATAAAACCCCAAACCTATTGGACCCACAGAGAAGTTGCAGATTTCAAATAAGCATGACTTCCACATAAGCTTATTTCACAACTAGCCTCTAAGCCAGTATCCTGGTTTCAACTGGGATAGAGTTAATTTCTTCCTAGCAGCTGGTATAGTGCTGTGTTTTGGATTTAGGAGAATAATGTTGATAACACACTGATGATTTTAGTTGTTGCCAAGCAGTCAAGGACTTTTCAGTTTCTCATACTGGCCCGGAAATGAGAAGGCGGAGGGGTGACCAAGAAGCTGGGAGGGGATACAGCCAGGACAGCTGACCCAAACTGCCCAAAGGGATATTCCATACCATATGATGTCATGCTCAGTACGTAACTGGGGGAGATGGCCAGGAGGCACCGCAGCTCAGGAACTAGATGAGTATCAGTTCCATGTGGTGGGCAATTGTGTTGTGCATCACTTGATTTGTATATTTTTTATTACTATAATTCTCTTCGGTTTCTGTCCTATTAAACTGTCTTTATCTCAAACCACGAGTTTTACCTCCCTCTCCCCCGACCCTGCACTCCTTTTCAATTCTGTCCTCCATCCCACTGGGAGGAGTGGGAGTGAGCAAACAGCTGTGTGGTTACTTTAGCTGCCTGCCAGGTTAAACCACAACAGCCAGATATTGTTGCTATTACAAGTACTCAGTCTGAAAACTATTTTGGTATTGCTGAAAAAAGTTATATTTCTAACAATCACCTTGCTAGATTTAAAAAAGGTATCTATAACAAGCTACAACCTCTCAAGTGTGTATACAGTGCATATGGTTATGATGTGCATCTAAAAATGATTGCCTAAATTGGTTGTTAATACTGCATAAATTACAGAAATTTAATTTTTCCCAAAAGAGAAGACCCATATCTCCAAACATATGACTCTGATGGTACTAAAGCTGTGGTGGGAATTCTCGTGGTTGGATGCATGTGATAGATAATAAAAACAGTACATGTGCTTTAGTAGATATATTTCCCCTACTCAAGTCTGTCATTAAACAAGTTTCTGTTTAATGCAGAATTTGTTGTCCTTGCTTTTTTCTGCATTTCTGTTTCCAGATAAAGTGATGTCAAACATCACAAGCTATTTACTTTTTTTGTTAAATGGTGAGAAAACTTCTCATACACAACTCAGGCACATATGTATTATTTACTCCCATAAACACTTTATATTATTTAATAGTGCCAAGCATACACCCAAAGATTTCCAGTTTTCTAAAGGCTAAAAGCATATGGGAAGGAACCTAAAGATGTCATCTATTCCTGCTTCCATTTTAAAGCAGGAACAACTATACCTAACTTACCTCTAGAAGTCTAAACCATTCTTAAGAGCAACTCGATATTCTCTAAGAAACATATTTCAGGACTTCCTTATGTTTACATATGGAAAGCTTTTCTAATATTTAACCTGGAGGCTCTCTTTTCCTCCCCATATCAGTCCTATCACCAGTGGCTCTAATAATTTTCTTTTTCTGACTCACTCCAGCTAGTCAAGCTACTGTTGAATACAAAGCAAAGTACTCCACCACAAGTTTTATCACTGTTGAACAGTGCAGAAAACCTGTTTTACATACTAAGCACCTGTGCAGATCTTCTAGCACAGTATGAGCTGTTTTCACAACAGGGTGATATTCTTGGTTGGCTCAACCAGACTTTAAAATTGCCTCTTCCTGCAATTGATTGTTCCTACATAAGTCTATTACTTTGAACTTCTGTGCATGGAATTACACAAAGTTTACTTTAAGTTTTAGCCCCAATTTGTCAGACTAACTTTCACAGCGGTCATCCCTACCTGGTATCATCTGTGAGTTAATTAAGGGTATCCCCTCTTTTACTGTTTACTTGTTGAAAGTATAAACTAGTAACTTGCTTAGAACAAGTCCTGCAAAAAACCTTCATGTTTCCCTTCAGTTTGGACGCAGACCATTGATAACTATTCTAAGCAGAATTTTTCAACCAGTTAGTAAACTGAGCTATAAAACCACTCTCTCATACAAAGTTAATGAAGCATATTATACAACTAGAAGGCTCTGGCTTCAGCTTGTAACCTTTTCAGGAAATTGATGTTCACTATTTTGCAAAAAACTATAGTAATGCTTCCTTTAGAATATATTAGCAATGCATTTTTTATAGAACAAAGCATTTTCCAAACATTTCTGGATTGGGAACACAGGAAATCAGAATAACACGGTAATGTCCCATTGAAATCCCTTACTGAACAAGATCTATGAAACACCATAGAGGGTGCAGGGTGGGGGTTTTTTTCAAAAATTTCTCAAGGCAAAAACGAATTTTAAGTGGCTAATATAGGACAGAAATATTGCTCTTCTTGGAGATTGAAATTTAATGTACTTGGTCCTCTCATACTCAGAACTGCCATATATTTAAAAAAAAAACACTCAAAGTATTGTAATTTTACTCAGTAAAACTTCACAGGGGTATTGGACATTCTATCCAAATAGTAAAAATAGATTCTAGCAAAATTCAGAATTGCAAGTTGGAAAAAAAATAACACAAGTTATATTCCAAGGGAAGGGGTTCATTAGTAAGTATTTTGGTCTTACAAAGATATTTTAAATGTTCACACTAAAGAACACAGAACTCTATGTATCCTAATTGAAAACACGTATCAGGCCCACCTAAGAGTATAGAACAAGAATAGGTAAAATTTGCACATTAGCTTTAATAATCCATAGCCAGAAGGTTTTTTTGTTGTTGTTGGGTTTGGATTTTTGTTGTGGTTTTTGATTATTTTTTTAAGGGTAACACCAACCACAAGTTCAAATGCTTACTTCATGTACTTTTGTGTTTCAAATAAAAAAGTCAGTGCAAAATATGATTTGCTTAAATTCAACAAAATCTACAAGATTCTATCTTTTATAGCATATATAAATATACACATATAAATACAAATCTGTAAAAGCATGTTTTTCCTTATAACAAAAGCTGTTAACACTAGTGCTATTCCCCCACCTTCAATATTTAAACATTTCTTCCCTAGGATAATTTAAAACATAACTAAATAATAAAGACTTTGCTCAAGTTACATATTTTTTCCAACTTTTAATATATCAATTTTTCTGCTTTTCTACCTTATTTGTAATGCAGTATACTAAATTTAAAATTGATTAGATCAAGCCTTTGGAGCATTAAAGAAACTCCAAGTAAATTCCTTCAATAAGAACTTCTAAGGCATTCAGACCTTAGGTCAAACCACAAAGATTAATAAAAAATTACTTCTAAAAAACTTCAAATATTGTATCTTTTAAAAAACCTAACTGCTAGATGCTCTTTCTTTACAAGTTTTACTGCAGATTGTAGTCTTTTTTTTTTTTTTTTTTTACTATTCAGACGCATCAGCATATATTTTCTAATTATTAGAGACAAAGGTCTGGACCACCTGAATCTTTTTTGCATCAGACCCTTATTTCCTGGCTCAACATTTTCATTTCATAAGCTGATTCAAACTCTATACCTGAACCCTTTATGGACAAATTGTTTTGGTATGATTGTAGAGGGAGAGAAACACTAGGTTGTGATTTGTCCTCAGATGTTCAGCATAAAAGTTTCTCTGATGAATGTCAAAATAAGCAACACAAAAAACCACCTCAAAACCTTAAGAAAATAAAGCCTAACATAACTTCACTATACTACACGTAATTCGCCCCATCATTTATCCCAGTAAAAACATGTATTTTATTGGAACATATAGCTCCTTTTCAGAACAATGAGAAAATCTTCAGATGTCATACATCTCCCTAAGCAGTACCAGAATTATGCTTCTATGTGCAGTCTTGATTTGACTTCCATCATGATAGGTGATCTCTAATGAAATAACTATACACTACTTTACAGCAGGCAGCTTGATTCATTTCACTATACAGAATAATCTGTTAAATTTTTGATAGATCACCATGCAACTGCATGAGATTCTTTTAACACACACTTCTTTAATAAACCTACTTATCTAGTTATTTTCAAAAGGCTAGCAACTTCCACATTTCATTCATGTAAGTCAGGGTTGGAATTTTTAGATTCAGTGAACATCTGACAAAACCAACAAACACAACAAAAAGTTTACTGTTTAACTGAAAAGGGGAGATTATTTTAATCAACTTGTGATGATAGGAACATCAATTATAATGTATTTACTCATCTTAAACTACATTTCAGAATCCTTATGAACATAAGTATTGTTAGGATTTTTTTGGGTGGTTTCCCCCACAAAAAACAGTGAGTATCCTAAAGAGTTTGGCATAAAACCAGGATGTCTTCTATTAAATCAAGACTCGGGATGATTTATAGCACTTTTTTTTTAAAAAAAACACTTTACCTGCATTCCTTTGACTTCCTCTATTATGCTGCAATTAGAAATAAGAAAAAAAAAAAAAGTCAGAAGAATCTTAGAATAGTAAAGTTATCTTAACCAATGCCTGTATTTGCTTTGGTATATCTCACAAGAGGCACTTCCTAAATAACCATTCAGTTTCCTTCAGGTTTCCCACAACCTGACCAGACAAGCCACAAATACATGGTAAAACTTAACTGATCATTCACTTCTTGCCATACTGTTGCTGTTAAAATCATTACAAAAACATAAGCTATAGCTACCTTGGCCCACATAAGAAGTTAAGACAGAGAATTCCTCTTACAGTCCTTAATGGATTTAGTCTGTAAAGTTGTGCAGTAATGCTTAGTAGATGATGCACAAGCTATTACCAGGAGTGGAAAAGGAAAGGGAAACACAGCCTCTTTTCTGTCTCCATCAAACCCATTCTTGTTCCCCAAGACTGAACTTCACTCCTCATCCCCTCACTCTGTGGGGTTCAGAACAGCTTCCACGTTAACCTCCAAGGCACACTGCACAGCTTTTGAGACAGATATTAGAAATGTAGCAGCAATTTTGACAGTTATGTGAGAAACACTGAGATTTTGATGAACTTCACTGTTGAGTTCTTATGGGGGAGTTTAGGAAATAGAAGGAGAAGCAAGTATTTATTTAATGTAAATACTCTGAATAAATACAGATCATATGCCCACAACAGTAATGATTTTAGCCTGACACGAGTGCTGAGACTGCAGATACTTTAATTACTCCAGCTTTATTTTACAGAAAAAAAATCTAAAGATGAAACCAGTAAGCCCTTCAGAATTGAAAAGCTGATTACCTGAACCAAGATAAATTGATTCAATGCATGTTAACTTCAATGACAATATTCTGATGAGATCCAAAAGTACGTGTTCCCATCAGGCAGCATTAAAAAAAATTTTATTTTTTTTTTTCACTTGGAGAAAGAAGTTATTATTGAGGCATCCCAAGAACCTTCTGGATTGCTTATGCCTAGCTGTGGTGTTCCTCCAACAGATATCAGGGTGGTTGAAGTTGCCCACGATGACCAGGGCTTGTGAACGTGAGGCTGCTCCTGTCTGTCTATAAAGGGCCTCATCTGCTCAGTCTCCCTGGTCAGGTGGCCTGTAGCAGACCCCTGCTATAATGTCCCCTGTCCCCCGTTCAATCCAGACCCATAAGCTCTCGGTCGGCTCCTCACCCATCCCAAGGTGGAGCTCCATGCACTCCATCGGGTCATTGACACAGAGGGTGACACCCCCTCCCCATCTGCCCTCCATGTCCTTCCGTTCCAGCACTCCAGTCATAGGAGCCATCCCACCACATCTCCATGATACCAATAAGATTATAGCCCTGCAGCATGCGCACGTCACCAACTCCTCTTATTTATTTCCCATGCTACATGCATTTGCATAGAGGCATTTCAGCTGGGCCCCCGATGAAGCTGACTGACTGGATGCAGTATCTGGAATTCCTTTGTGCTGCACTTCAGGTGCTCTACTGCTGACCTGTGATCCTTCTCTGGGCATCTATTGCTGGCACTGGAATCAAACTTGTAGGAGTGGGATGCATTGAGGTTCCCCTCCCCCAGAAACTTTAGTTTAAAGCCCTCTTAACCAGCTTGGCCAGCCTGTGACTGAAGATGCTCTTCCTCTGACAGATGGACCCCATCAGCTCCCAGTAAACCAGGTTTCTCAAAGTGAGTCCCATGGTCTAAGTGGCCAATCCCCTGGCTGTGGCACGAGTCCTGTAACCATTTGTTGATTCGCCAGATTCAACTGGCCCTTTCAAACCCCTTCCCTTTGGGAGGATTGATGAAAAAAAACTACCTGCATTTCAGAATCCCTTACCACCACTCCCAGGGCTCTGTAATCCTTCTTGATGCTCCTCAGACTGCCCCTGGCTGTATCACTGGTGCCCACGTGAAACAGCAGCAGCATACAATAGTCAACGGACCATAAGAGGCTTGGTAGTCTCTCAACGACATCCCAGATCTGAGTCCCCAGTAAGCACCACACCTCTCTAGAGAGTGCATCAGGTTATTACATATTACATTAAAAAAAAGAAATATTGCTACATTTTGACTGCAGAGTAGGACTATATTATTAGATACCTCAAGTACTTCCTTCTTCCATTTTTTAAGCTTCTTGGCTGACACTTCCCTCCATTGTTTTGGTCCTAGAAATACCAAGAGATATCAATAAAAACATAGCTTTTTCTTATAACACCACCTATACCAAGTATCATTCTAACAAACATAAACATCTAGCAAAAATGTATTACATAGTAACAAAACATTATCAAATCTGAGCAGCCTCCAATACAATTGCTAAAACAAAAACTTAGAAGAAAACAAACCAAGAGAATATTGTCATTTCAAGTTAATTGAGAAAACAGGCAAAAAAAAATTCATATGCTGAGTCTAACAACACTGAGCTAAAATCCAAAGAGCATTACAACCCCAGATGCTATGAAGAGGGGCAAAAAAGCAGATTATTTTACTTTTTACATTTTATTTAACCCAGGCAGACTACATGGTATCTGAGGTTACTTAAAGCTACAATTAAGCTTTACAGGACTGAGATCCATATTCATTCCATACTGAATAGAGGTTACTAAACCAAAAGCATAACCAAGCCTTTACAAATCCAAGACTCCGTATTAGAGTGCTGTATGCATGTCTCCTCCTTCTCCCGAGAGACAATATACATAAAATGCAAACTTCCCAGTCTGTAAAGGCCTTGAAAAAGTAAATCATATTCGGTGCAACAATTACATTGGGCTTGACGCTATGGTAGCACTTCACGTATATGTCCAGTACGTTCTTTGTTATGAGAATTGATATGGTAATTTACATATCATAATCCTCACTTCAGTGATGATAAAAACTGGCAGAACATTTCATTTCCCAGTAAAATCACCAAGATACTAAGTCACAAGTGCCACTAAAACCCTGAGCAAGGTATTTTAGAACAACAGGGTTTTTTCCCCTACAATAAGCTCCCCATAAGCATTATCAACTCTATAATGGATCAACAGTTATAATGAAACACTGGAAAAATATGATATGGTATAATGCTGTATGGATTTACGCTAAGCACATGAACATTCAATAAGAAGTTAAAGAGACTATCTACCCAGTCCACCTTGACATTTGTCATAACAGACATTTATCAGAGCAATCTTCAGGACACTAAGTGGAGATGAAACTATACAATCCATTATGTGTATCAACTTCCTGCTAATACCTCCATTCCTTTGTTTCCCCTCTGTCTTCTCCATTTTGATTCTTATTCTTACAAGATATCCAAATAGTAACCACTGTTATCCCGAACTTTGCTAACAACTCTTTTCTGTTGTCTAAAACAGAGCATGCAATGGACTAAAATGTTGCATATAAATCAACTCTCCAGGTAATAATGTGTGTATCAGAGTTTACATACAAAATGATGTACCTAAGTGGACAAAATTCACTATCTGCTGCAATTAAATGTAACTGCCACCAGCTGCATGCTTCACTAAGTCGAAATACACAGCATGTAAATATTGAAGCTTTAAGAAGTTCTTACCATCAGGCGTATTGTAAGTGAGAGTTTCCATGGAAATAAGTAAATCATCTTCAAAAGGATGATTATACTAAAGAAAAAGACAATTAAAGATTAGAATAAATGATTAAAACAAAGTTTTTAACATGCATTTTAAGTATTGGTTTTGTAATATTTTTTTTTTTAACAAAACATGAAATTATCAGTACATTATTTTATTAGCTGAAGTTAGAAGTCAGCAACCTGGAAATACTAATTCCTGAAGGAAACATATATCTTAAGCATGTACATAAGTCATTGAATTTCAAGGCACAAGTCAGTCACTGACAAAATGGGGCTTCAGAGTTTTCAAAAGTAGTTAAATTACTCTGTTACAGAGCTTCTTCTACACTTCCTCTGTACTAATTGGAAGTAGCCTCTTAACATAGACCTACACCTCATGGCATATAAAAATACCCAATTTAATGCTAGATGAGAAAAATGGTCTAGAACCAGACTTATCCTTATGGCAGTACCTAGACATTAGCACAAAACATTTCCCTGAACAGCAAAGCTGACATCCCTGAATAAATATATGCATCTCTGGATGGAGGTGTATGGTTCCCACATCTTTAAACACAAAATGGCTCTAAAGTAAGGAGGATTCGTGGAGGGAGTCTCCCACTTCCTTCTGTAGTTTCACTGAAAATACCTCATCTAATGCTAGCTAATTTGGGTTAAGTACACTGTGAAGGCAACTTGGACTTGTATTTAAGTCACTTATTTAATGCTAGCAAGCCCGAATCTAAGTTATACGGACGTATTCAAGGAGCTGGCCGTTTACTAGCTTACTCACACCACGGCACACGAGCAGCACAAACTGCAAAGCTGCCTGAGGCCCTGGGTGACAGGCAGGAGCGAGGCAGGGCTGCGGCAGCCTGGAGGCC